AGATAGATAGATAGATAGATAGATAGATAGATAGATAGATAGATAGAAATGTATATATGTTAAGGAAGGCAGAAAGTATAGTGGGCTCAGACTTGAATTAGAAAAATATGAATGATTGTATAGAGACAGAACTAAAACAATGGATAATTTTTAGACAGGCCAACACAAAAGGTGTCATGGTAGTTAATCACAAACTATTACTAGAGTGATAGGAGGGGAGGGAGAACTCACTGAGGTAAATAACATGTGTTACATGTGTCTTAGAGAAAGTTTTGGTGTCAGGAAAAGTTATACACAGGGTAAAACATGAAGCCACATGCATAATATACACATGGTAAATGTTTATTGTTATTTTGGTAATTTTCATATTCATGGGCAAGTGTGTATTTATATTCATTATTTTCAGTAAAATGTGTTATAGCTTCCAAATTTTAAATGGAGCAACTTTCTGTATTATATAACTTAAAATACTGTAAGAAGGATCATATATGTCATGAGCCTGGAACAGGATGGATATGGGGAAGGATATGAATCATGGAAAGAGCAAAGACAAAACATAATTAGGACCAACCTAGAGCAACATGAAGATGCACTCACACTCTGGCAATAAGCCAACACAGGAATGCAAGTGTGGTTTGCAAGATAAACTAAATGATCAACCATCACAGGTAGTTGATGTTGAAATGGAAATGCATATGGAAGAGCTTCAAATTCTTCATTAGTGTTTCTAAAAAGCGTGTGTGTGTGTGTGTGTGTGTGTGTGTGTGTGTGTGTGTTAACTATTACATGAGAACTTGGTCACAAACTAACAATACTCTTTATTTTACTTCCCATCCCCTTTGCATCAGTAATATATTTCCACATTTTGTTTTTACTAATGTCTGGAAACAATTTTACGTCAAAGATTGTGATTTACCTATTCTGAAAATTTGAAGTAGTTTTTAATATAGCGTTCTTCCTTTAGTTATAGGCTTTAGTTTCATTAAAAAAATAATAGTACCTGCAGTAGAGAATTGTGGGTAAGTAAAACTAGAACACATTTAATTTATGTATTAGTATAATGTACATAAATATACATATAAATATTCTTAGTTATCAGTATTACAATATAAAGTTATTACTTTTAACAGGTATCTATTAAAGTAAATTGAATATTTTGTGAAAGCAAGATTCTACATTATACATGATCTCTAAAAACTTTGTTGATTTATCATGTTTTCCTGGGACGTAGGATTTGATGAGATTGTAGCTTAAGACTGACTCCCTTTTGTTCTCCTCTGCCTCCATAAAAGCCTTTTTTGAACAATAAAGTATGGCTATCAAAATTTTATTACGCTGTGGGCCTTGAGTGCGCACTATAATGGTGTTATGGATTACTTGTTAGAAGTGGATTTTAGATCCATAGCCTTTATAAGCCAAGTATATGAAGTTTGTCATCAAAGAAAGAAAACAAAAAAGAAAAAGGGAAAATATAAATGATGCCACCAATATAAATTTCTTTGAATACTTGGTAGAGTAAAGCACTCACAGCACAGACTGGAGAAAGAAAAAGCCATTGAAATAACTTAGATTTTTGCCAGAAATTTAGACAACATTTAGGTAGCTAAATGTTCATTTGAATTTATTTAAATCATCCTAGAATATTTAGGCTCTTGTCTAGCTAACACATGCAGAAAAGCAAAATAAGTTATGATGTTAATGCACTGGTATTTCAAAACCTTTATAGTTAGAGGACTCGCTGGATGAGAAAAATCCAAATCAAAGTAAGACAGTGGATGAAAGTTACCACTGTGAGACAGTCACCACCTATGCTTACGTTAACCATGACAATAACATACTAAATTATTGTTAACAAATATAAAGACAGATAGCATTTTACCACAAGATGATACTTTGAAAATGACTTTCATACTGACATTTGTCATTTTAACTGAAAAAAGAGTGGATTAAAAAATTGATGGTGATTTAGCCCACTGCTATAGCACTTGTCTATTGTGTGTGAAGCCCTGGGTTCAACTTTTAGTAATTCAAGAAACAACAAAAACTCCTGAAGCAAAACCACAGATCCTTCCCTGAAAAAAAGGGCATCTGTAATACTGTTAAGTTATAGAAGGCACTTAATCGTCTACTGAGATAAATTGAATTACTAAGGATAAATAAAACAGTACTTATTCCTGCCATTTATTTCACTGACACATAAAACTGAAATCGATTTTCATACTTATCCTAAATGTTTAGAGATCACAATCTAATTCAGGGCATTTAAGATTTGCCATTTAGAATACCTGAGACTGTGCAGGGTGGCAAATCCAGCAAAGAACTTGCTGGTATACAGGAAGCCCTGAGTTCAATCCCCAACATTGAAATAACAAAACAAAAATCAATAAAGAACACTCCCCCCAAAAGTATTACCTTCTTATAAATCAAGCTAAACATAGCTATCCTCATCTGCATTCCAATGCGATGAAGGCCAAAAATGGCTGGGTGAAGAAGCAGTGTTCTGAGAATGAATAGAAGGCACAAGCCTATGCCTAAGTAAATGGCAATGGAGCGCTCCATCTTGTTATCTGGGTCATAGGAAGCTATGATTCTTCCTAGCAAGAGGGGCTGGACAGCCTTGGTGACTTCCTGCAGAAGAAAAAAACAGATTAAATTTCATTTCCTTGTATTGAAATACCCTCACAATCTCATTTTTCTTTACAGAGGATTTGAAATGGCTTTATAGAGAGGGTCAAACCATCTATGAAATCGATTTATCTTTAATTTGTATAGATTCTAAAATAAGATTTGGTTATTACTTCAAACTCTACTAGAGAGCTATAGTAATAAAAACAGCTTGGTATTGACTAAAAATAGACATGTGGGCCAATGGAATCAAATCTAAGACCCTGACATTAATACACACACCTATGATAACCTGATTTTTGACAAAGAAGCCAAAATGGTACAATGGACAAAGGAAAGAATCTTTAACAAATAGTGATGGCATAACTGGATATCAACATGTAGAAGACTGCAAATAGATTTATATCTATCGCCATGCATGAAACTCAAGCCCAAGTGGATCAAGGACCTCAACATAAATTCAGTTACATTGAACCTGACAGAAGAGAAGAAAGTAGAAAGTAGCCTTGGACACACTGGCACAAAAGAACACTTCCTAAATATAACACCAGAAACTGAGACCAACAAATAATAAATGGAATTTCCTGAAGCTGAAAAGCTTCTGTAAGTCACAGTAAATAAGACAAAACGACAGCCTACAGAATGAAAAAAGATCTTCACCAACCCCACATCTGGTTAGAGGGCTGATCTCCAAAATATACAAAGAACTCAAGAAACTAGACATCAAAATACAAAATAATCCAATTAAAAATGGGGTACAGAGCTAAACAGAATTCTCAGCAGAAGAATCTCATATGGCTGAAAGACATTTAACATACTGCTCAACATAATTAATCATCAGGGAAATGCATATCAAAATGACTCTGAGATACTATCTTCTAAGTGTCAGAAAGGCTACAATCAAAAATAGTGAGGGCAACTTACATGGAATCAAGGGGAACACTCCTTCATTGTTGGTGGGAATGCAAACTTGTACATGCCACTTTGGAAATCAGTATGGCAGTTTCTCAGAAAACTGGGAATCAATTTATCTCAAGGCCCAGAGATATCACTCTTGGGTATATTCCCAAAGGATAATCAATCATACCAGAAGGACACTTGCTCAACAATGTTTATAGCAATAATGTTTATTTGTAATAGCCAGAACCTAGAAACAACCTAGATGCTTCTCAACTGAATAATGGATAAAGAAGATATGGTACATTTACACAGTGGAGTATTATTCAGCTTTGAAAAAAACAATGATATCATGAAATTTGCAGGCAAATGGGTGGGACTAGAAAAAAACAAGCTGAGTGAGGTAACCCAGACTCAGGAAGACAAATATGATATGTACTCACTCATAAGGGGATATTAATGTAACATAGGATAAAGACTACAGTCCACAGCTCCAGAGAAGCTAGATAAGGACAAGGAAGACCCTAACAGGGACACATGTATCACCCTGGGAAGTGGAATTAGTTGAGATCTCCTGAGTAAACTGGGAGTGAGAGTGGATGGTAAAGGGGAAGGGATGGTAGATGAGCACGTGAGAGAATGGGATGGTCAAGGGGGAGAGGGATGAAGTGGGAGAGCAATGAAGAAGAGATCTTGATAGAGAGAGCCATATGGGGTTAGGGAGCAACTGGTGGTAGAGAAATTCCGAAGAATCCATAACCATGACTCCAGTTAAAACTCCTAGCAATAGTGGAGTGGGTGCCTGAACTGGCCTTCATCAGATTGGTAAATACACCAACCATGATTATAGAGCCTTCATAATTAAGATCTATTTAGTAACTGATGGAACCAGATGTAAAGATCTGCAACCAAGTATCAGGCCAAGCTCCAGGACCAATCAAAGAGAGGGAGGAGGAAATATATGAGCAAGGGAGGTTAAGAACATGATGGAGAACTCTACAGAGACAGCTGAACCAAGCTTGTAGAAACTCATGAACTCTAGACAGACATCTGTGGAGCCTCTGTGGGAGAGGCTCTCCAAATGTGGGAGACAGTGATGAAGCTTGGACTATCTGAGGGGCCTCTGAAAGTAGAACCAAGATCTATCCCTGGTGCCTGAGCTAGCTTGTTAAAGCCCATTCCCTATGGTGGGATGCCATGCTCAGCCTTAATGCAGAGGGAAGGGGCTTGGTCCTGTCCCAACTTAATGTGAGAGACTTTGTCGACTCCCTATGGTGGCCCTTACCCATTGGGAGAAGTGGGTGGGGGTGGGCTGGAGGGGAGCGGGGGCATGGGAGTGGGTGGAGGTAGAACTGCGGTTGGAATGTAAAATAAAGAAAAAAAAGATTTGATTACTAGTTTACAGCAAAAGTCACATCGAGACAAATTTGTGTGAGGTGTTCGCTAAAACCTGAATGAATAGTGGCTTCAGTAAGGCATATACTAGGACACTTGACCTTGGGCCAGTTCCAATAAACTCATCAACTTTTCAACAGTCTTCAACTGACTACCAGCCAAGCTGTTTATCCAGTTAACCATCCCTTTGAAATGTACGTAGACAGGTTTGAATTCAAGAACTCTAAATCTTATCCATTTTGCTAAGCAGCCTTCAAATTAGGAAGACATTATCTTCCAATTTTTATCTTATAATGACTTATAAGTGAAACAGAAATTTAGGGCTAAATTCCACAAGAAGATTAAGAGAGATGTGATCCTAATTGGTTATCTCTAAGTCTGACTGACCCACTGTTCAGCATTCTTTGCTCTTACCCTTAATTTTCTTTCCATTTTTATCTACAATGGACTTTCCAAATCTCAAGTGCCAATACTACCTGTCCCATCATTCCAAAAAAGATAACCATGCTCTCTATATCACTTTCCTCCCCAAAGGAAATTGTAATCTACAATAGCTATCATTGTGCAGTTGCTCATTCTGACTTTATATACAATGCTTCATCTCATTTATATAGAGCACAAATCAAAGCTCTGAAATAAGAGAAGATTCAAACCTTTAAAAAGCTTCTAAAATAATCACAAAGATGATACGTCATTTCCTTTCACATGGCCATATTTTAAATGGATTTGGATTATGGAAAATCAAAAGACAGGGATGAAAAAGAAAAATTTTAACCTCCTACCTAGTTAAAATATAGTAATTGTTTGTGTGATCTACTGATTAAAATGGCTTTTAAAAAGCAAAGTATACAAAATACTTCTCTTATATATGATTCATTTTTTATTACATGGCAAACATCGTTTGCATATTTAGATGTAGAATTAAACTAGAGATTACACAGGCACATTCAGGGTGGTAGGGCCTAGATGTGACTTTTAAATGTCATATAAATGTTCTCATAGTGTTTTCATTTTACCTAAAAGCATTTTTTTTACATTTTAAAATACATATCATACAGCTACCTCATTTGCTCTAAATGCTATCTAGCAAGCCTTCTTATGGATATATTGGGTTGTCTATGTCTGCATAGTGACAACTGTGTAGTTTTTATTGGATATTATGATCTTGATTGTTTTATAAAGTGAGAAAAATCAAGAGACAAGTTAGAGACTATATTAAATATCATATTGCACAAAATATAACATATAATAGTTATATTATATTATAAATACATTATAAATATAATAAAAATTATAACTTGTATTATCCTAAATTGAATGCCTCTTCTATGTATTACTACTACTGTGTTAGATTTCAACTTGCATCAACTAACAGGACATACTCATCTTTTGAACAACGGGTCACCCCACAAAGACACCAGTAGTATTCCTCTGGAAGAGCAAATATTCAGTTTGCTTCTTCACATGAAATTTTCAAAGACAGGATCATATGTGGGTCGCAGCATAACCCTAGCTACCAGACAGTGCTGTTACCTCTCAGGGACAAAACCAGCACTTCCAGCCTCTCTCTGCCACTGCTTTTCCTAGCCTCTTTTCTGTATCATGTTCTCTAATATTTACAATGGAACCATTCATAGATCCACCTGACATGCTTTTTTAAAGTGGGAGAAAACCTACAATGGTAATTGATACCCAGCTTACTCTATAAAGTGCAGTCCTTCTCACAAACCACCACTGGTACCTGAAAGCTGAGTGTCCTCTGTTGATGTTTATACTCAGAAGCAGAAGTGCCCTCATTTTCACCACATGAAATAGTAAACCCAAACAGAATTACATCCATTGGAAAATAATGTAAAGCTATTTTAACTAGTATAAAATCCAGTTAAATATTTAAAAAATTTTACACAAGGCAGAATTTACCTTAGGAAGTAGAAGAAACTTAATAGCAATTTTTAAGACAATATGGACAGTAAACAGGTTCATAAAACTCAAACTCCTTTTTTACATTAACTTTTGAGAATCTTATACACAGATACCATATGTATCACTTTTACAACTCCCTCCCTCCCTTCAAACTCCATCTATGCCCACCCTGACTTCCTCTTAAGTTCATAACCTCTTTACTATTCTTATCCCAGTGTATCTACTCTCTTTATACCCTCAGTCACTTCTATTGTTTGGACAGTTCTCTTCATTGGCAAACTCTGGTAATTCAGAAGGTTCCCTCCGACAACATCATCCCTGAAAGTATGAGCTGAGTATAAGAATACTGTGCCGAGGCTAAAGAATACCTTAGGTAATTGTACTTGTCCATTTCTTCACACACACACACACACACACACACACACACACACACACACATACACACACTGCTCAGAGAGGTATAGATTTAAACAATGTGAGTTCAAAAGACCATCTGGCATCAGGAGTTTTGACACATGACCATAATCCTATCTTGGGAGGCTGCAAAAGGAGGATTATGAAATCCTGGCCAGTCTGCATACACTTCCTTCCAACCAAAAGACCATCTGTCATCTAGGTAAGCAAATAAATAAAAATAACTAAACGGACTGCACTCATATGGGAATAATTTTAGGTCTCAGAGTAGCCTCCCAGGGGAAGTTTGAACACACATCATGGTGGATATACCTGGGCTATCATAACATTTTCAAGGCTAGAACTCAAAGTCACTGTAGTTGAATACATATCCTTAAACCATTTCCACTGTAGCTGACAAAGTCAGATGTTTCTAGAGACAGGAAAGTCTGCATTGAGTGGACATTCAAATTATAAAGCAAAGTTCAGGCAGAAACAGAAAGGCAAACTGAGGTTTGCAACTAAATTATATGGAAGTATCTCAAGGCATCTTTAGATAAAACCATTTTATAAAAAACTCACAAGTTGTAGAGCTAGGGGTCAGTTCAGGGGTAGAGTGTTTGCCTAGCATATGAGGTTTCAGAGTACTTTGTTATATTTTAAGCAACCACTAAGTAATATCATTATCACCTTCACCTGTTTTAAGCATGTTTTATATAGCTTTACCTTTACAATAATAGGGCAGGTAATACTGAGAAATCAACTAACAGGATCTAGGAAAGACAAATGGAGCTCTACACAGAAAAGCAATAATTACTTGAGATAGATCAGGCTTATGGAGTGTTCAGAATGCAAGTGTCTGCTTTAGTCAGAGAAGCAGCCAGATATCGGGGCTCATAAGATGGGACAGAAAGATGAGAAATGAATCCTAGATAGGAGGCCTCCAGATTTGCTAAAAGCATTCATATTAAAGGGAGCTATAAAAGTTAAGGTACCCGAAACAGAGCCCCTACGTGTTCAGAATTACCTCAAACACCCTTCCTTCAGTAGCAAGAGTCATGGATTCAAAGGCTTGTGTTTGCCTAAATACAGGAGACAGATCCTCCTTTATAACAGTCTGAGGAATTTAAGAACTGTGACATTGTGAGTACCAGGAATTATTTATTCCTTTAAATAAACCTTTAACTTTCTGGGATGATTTAAGTTGAGCTAATATTTACTTCTGTGCAGGGAAGAACACAAAGAATCAAGAACACTTTAGAGAAAACACCTGTGAATTCTTATAGCAACAACTGCTCTCTGGTGTTCATATTCTGTCAACGATATGTTTACTGATTCCCTCTGTTGAGCTTCCTTTAGATTACCCTTAGATTATCCTTAATTGACTCTTATACTCATGTTTTCAATAGGCCATTGCTCTTCTTCACTGGAAGTCTTAAATACTAAAGACAATGTTATTTATCTGGCTGCTGAGTCAGATAAAGAAAAAGCAAGTGTATAGTCAATGGGGATGTACCATAACTATATGTATAGTCAATGGGGATGTACCATAACTAATATGATTTAAAATTGCACCACTGTTGTAAGTTCTTTCTGATGGTATTTCCTTTTTCTTAGCCTTTCACAGTTGAAAGTAAATTCTATAGTGCTTTTTTCTATCAGTATTGCAGCCAACAAAATCGTCATTATTCCACAACTATCATGATACACAAAGACCAAGAATGAACACATTCTTAATGTATGTTCCCCTACATCTATACAAGAATTACAGCAGTTCCCATAATCTTTGTTTACTTGATGGGAAGAAGAAATGTTGAGAGCGTACACTACAAACAATAAGGCAATGTCAAATCTATTTGACAAGATAGAAACTTATTAAAATGACTAAAATTTCTGCCACTCTCACTGCAAGTCCTTAAAAGAATAAAGAAAACAGAGGCTGGTAATAGCTGTAGAAATGAGAATACTGGGAATGCTTGGTTAATAGCTACAAAATAACAGATAAAGGAATACATTCTATTAGGGTGACTATAGTTAATAATATTTCAAAATAGCCAGCAGTGATGTTTAATGATTTCATCACAAAGAAACAATAGATGGTAGAGTGATTTATGTTAATTACTCCCAATAGGTCATGAAAGATGTATAAATATATTGAAATATATACACTGCAAATATTTGTACACATTTGTATATGCCAAATAAAAATTTTTAATAAAAATTAAGTTGAAAAAATTAATGGATCAAATGCCTTTGAAGTTATACTTACCTAAATAAGATCTAGTTTTCAACATTTTTACAACTTTGAACTGTGTGGATACAGTGAGGCTTTGTGTGGCGGGGGAGAGAGGAAGAGAGGGGTAGAGCAACTTCAGCATCACTACACTGTTTCCTGCTCATTTTCTTGCTCATGCCTTCTTACTTTACACTCAACTGCTCTCTCCCATCTGGACCTTTCCTTCACAGTCAGAAATTGGATGTTTGGCTTTAAAAGCTACGACAGGTCCAGAGAAACATGCCAGGATTCAAGTTAGCTCAGAAGCACTTTGAATCATTCATTCATAATTAATACAATGTGAATAACTTAAAGATTTTTCAGCTAGATATTTTTAATTTTAAAAGTCTTAATACTTCTTCATATTTGCTACATTTCTCTGTTCTTAGATTCTACTCATTATTTTATCTTGACTAAAAAGAGCTTCAAATTCTTTAAGTGTGCTCACTGATAAAAATAACCTTAAAGATATCTTTAAAAGATAACTGATTATTCTCTTTGTGTGTCTATATGTGTGTGTATTTCATAAAACATATTATACTAGACAAAATTATATTGGTTTTTATACATATAGATATTTAGAGATTTAACCATAAATAATAGATTTATAATATATAACAATATAAAACATGTACTATATGTGAATATAATATATATAAATCTACTTATGTATAAAATATAATGAGACTATATTATACATGAAATTACTTACAAAGAAATAATCTATGCACTTATATACTTACATTCATATATAAGTGTGTGTGTGTGTGTGTGCATGAGTGTGTGTATTGAGAAAAGTGCCAGAAGAATTTCTTCTAGAAGAAAACAGCATTAGAAAACATTCTGAACCTAATTATAGTAAATTTTGTCAATATAAATTGTTAATGAATCTTTCTTCGGCAGGATAAAGTAAAATTCTTTAAGTAGTATAGATGTACATGAGTTCTTACAACAATTGAGGGAAACCAAAGTCCTGCTAGGATTAAAAGACCAGAAGAAATACAGCTCAATAACAATCCAATGGAACAGACAGCCACAGCATTACTGGCTGAGCTGTTAAAGCAGACTTACTGAATTCCCATTCGTCACCCTCCTTTACAAGCTACAACCAAGCATTGAAAGTGATGTCCTGATGATGCAAAAAAACCAACACCCAAGTCAGTTTGGAGATCATTTGGGGAACACACCCAAAGTCAGTAAATATCGCAAAGCCCAGGTTTCCAGGCTTGCTATGCGCTTTACAGTGATGACGACACAGGCTGCTGACAAATACATTCAAGTGCACCTAACTGTCTCATTTAAAAATTTGGCTACTTTTTGGGAAACACTTCAATACGTTATATATATATATATATATACACACACATATAGATGTGCATATACATATATATAATTTCAAAATATCATAAACATCCCTCCATATAATTGACTGAATGGGGCCTTATTCTTGTCACAGCATTGTCTTCTAAAATTCTCTTTCTGAATACAGAAAACTAAAGTTGCCAGTAGTCTCATATACTATTAAGATGTTATGATCTGGATTCATAAAAGAGAAAAATTTTTAAACAAGTAATTTGCTTTTCTGGATTTAATTATGATCTGTAAATTGAAAGCTGCATTTCAAGCATTTCCACTTAATTTTAGGTGGTCTGTACTTAGAGTTGTAATGGATTTTTAAAATAACCTTTCATAATTCTATAAGCGCACAACTACTTACTATATCTCAATAATACAATACACTGTATTTATCAATGAGAGTCTTACCCCTAGGTATAACAAGATTCCATAGAAGATGAATCTCCATAAAAAGCATCGCCGAAGGGCATTGATAAGCTTGGGATTCTTCTTTGAAGCTTGTTCCCTGTCCCATTCTCTGCAAAGAATAAGAAAGTGGGATCAATGAGCTGCAGCTGCAAGCCTCTGAGTTGCTTTATTTCCCTTCAAGATTCCGTCCACAAGTATATGTATGTTCAAGATTAACACAACATGATGACAGGACCAAACCTTGTGAAGTCTCTCCAGTGCCAGCAACTCGGTCAGACATCTGGCAGAATTTCATGCTCTTCCACGTAATCACTCTGCAGGGCTTCATTACATGAAACTACCTAATTGTGTGTGTTAGAGAAATGTACTGGGCTTCTTCAGAGTGACGGCAAGGGTGAGCAAATGACAGATAACACTGAGAATGCATTTGTGCTCAGAATAAGATGCAAAAATAGATATTCTAAGTCCCCTCAATCTCATGCTATTTATATGTTTTTAACTGCCACAGATTTCACAATATCCAACTTTCAACCAAAATCACAAATTAAAATAATCAGGCAGATTTTTTTCATTTTAAATATTTTTCTAAAGTTTTAGTATAATTTCATCATTTCCCCCTTTTACTTTCCTCCCTCCAATGCCTCCTCTGTCCCTCTTCCTCATTCCTTCTCAAATTCATACCTCTTTGTCTTTGGTTGTAACACATAATACTGTAACATATAAATGCAACCTTTTGAGTCCTTTTAGTGTTGCTTGTGCATATGATTTCATATATCAGAGAGCCCATTGGGGGCACACCTCTGGGAATGACCATTTCTCTTTCAGTTGCCTTTAGCTCTTTGTCTAGGGGTGGGGCTCATGGAAGAAGGGGCCAAGCATTTTAAGAGCCAGATTGCCAGAAAATGTACTCTCAGATGTGTCACCTAGAAATGACACGGAAGCTATGCCCATGATACTTCAACAATCTGGTTGCCTACAACAGACCTAAACAATCACTACACCAACAGACATACTAACGAAAGGGGACCATCAGGTGAATGTTTTAATGATTTAACACAAGAAAAATCTACTTGGATTTTTAAAGAAAAAGCATGAAAGTATCATCATTAAATTTTAGCATCCAACTACTGAAATCATTTAATAGTCTATAAGTCTTTGAAAATAAAGCAGAATAAAAATATGTTTTATAGCAAGGATAGGTACTAAATAGTATTGACAAACTAGCTGAAGTGGTGAGTTTTATTTTCAGTACTCCTAGAGCATCAGCTGGTTGTTTTAGGTTGTTGCCATTGCTGTTTATCAAGAAAAGTACTTTTTAATTTTTTCAATGGAATAAAAAATATCTCAGTGTTGTCTTCATCTTAATTTTCAAGTTGTTCTGAGATGGAAAAATTCCATGAACCACAGAAGAACTGAATTCTTAGATAAAGGTCATTCCACCAATGGCTATTGTTAAGTTGTAATAACTAAATCTGGTTTGATATTACTTTAGGGGAAGAAAACACAACTAATTTTGATGAAAAGTTTGTCAGTCTCAATATATGCACCATGATTTCCCTAAGAAACTTGCATTATAATGGCATCCTATCTATAAAGAGAAGCCAACCCATGGTCCTCTTAATTCACACACATGGAGCCTGTTTATCCATCTGTGATACTTAGTGAATCAAAAATAGGGAACAAAAATAAGTGTATAGCATCAGAATCTTCTCCATTCAAGGAACAGGGCTCATTAAAAATTCTCATTTATACTTCAATTAGAACTTAGTGATCAACTATATCTAGGAAATGCAGGAAAGGGACTGCCCATAAACCAAACCAATGGTTTCAAGATAAAGATACCAGTAACAGTGAAGTAGCAAGCACACACAAAAAAGTCACATTTGTTAAGTAAGAGGTCTCCGGTATCCCTCATCAATGCAGTTTTAGGAACATAGTCAAAATAGAAATTATAATTCAAGAGCTGAGACAAAAATGGATGATAAACAAGTGAAGACCAGAGCACAAAGAATTGTCAGCTATAAAATGGGAGGATGTGGTGACTTGATAGAAATGGAAGCTGTTGTTTTAATTGATGGAATTTGAATAATTTGTAGCTATCGAAGCGAAATTAGCAACAAAAGTAGATGGTATTGATCCAGCAGTATGTAAAACGGGCTTAATGAGGGCAAAGAGCTATAGACTTAAGAAATTCATAAGTTGGTAAGGAACATAGAATGCGCGTGTGGTTTTCATACTGCAATGATACAGATGATTCAGTTTCATGGCCACAAAAGTGAATCAGAGGAGTCAAGGTACTTCTAGCAACAAACTGAAAACTTGGGCCACTTCCCAAGGGTGCAAAGGAGTAGTTTCAATAAACTTCTAACAAAAATAAGATGAAGAGATATAAAATTACAGCAATAATTATAAATTTTAGAATTTATTTGTTATTAGAATGTATATCTCTGTTCTGAGACAAAGAGGTTGAATTAAAACAAAACAGATGTATTTTATAAATTTGGGGATAAAAGAAAAAATAGAGTGAACGTGGAAGGGGTGAAGGAGGGGAAAGATGGGGTAAAGGGGGAAGGAGAGAGGAGAAGAAAGAAAGGAGAAGAAGGGTAGGGGAAAGAAGGAAGTTATCTTTTTTGTGGCATAGAAAGGTATTAGCCTAGAGTTCTGAGAGATCCACCTGAGAAAAAAGTTGGTCTAAGAAAATAAGCCAGCACAGAGCACATCTCACAGAAGATAATTGTGTCCTAGGACTCATTGACTCTTGGGCTAGTTCCCTACCTATTCACTCACCTAGTTTAGGTTTCATGAGCTATTAAATGTCCTCTTTTTAGTTGATAAGCTTAGTTGATTTGGCTTCTGTCACTCACAATGGTCCCAACCAATACTTAGAAAGGGGAACTATGATAAATTCACCAGAACTGAATAGTATAGCTTCATCATTCAGAGGTTGGCAAATTACATTATCTCTCAGTTGTGGGTTGCTTTTCTGTAGGCTGAAGATAATTATGGTTTTCTTCCAGAGTGGCCAAGATGAGAAATGACGCTTGATATGTGACAGGTCATCAAAAATTATGAAAAATTTAATTTTTTGACAGTCAGTAGCTATTGCCCTAAGGTTTCTTTGAAGTCTAATAGCATTCACACATTCAGATTTTCAAGGTGACACTCCAAGTGCTCACCACCAGCAAACTACACAAGACCTGACTACAATTTGCAAGGATTTTGCTCCAGCTGCCCAGACAACACATCTTTGTGCAGTAAGCAGGGAAGTTGGTTATCATTTCTTAGTCCCTTAGTCTACCCACTCTGCCCCAAATTTCCTGCAGCAGCCCCACAAATGGAAATGGCATTCTCAACCCTACTGAGACTTAGTCCTCTCATGAATATTGTAGATGCCTTCACTGAAAGATGGTGGTGACTTAAATATAAAAGAGGAAGGAATACAACAAACCACTTAAATGTCTAAGTTCCAGCACAGAAAAAAAATCAACATAAAAAGATACCATGTTTCCTCCCCAAATTACTAATCCCACGATAATGGCACCCAATAAAGAAAACATGGAAAATTTTAAGTATATTCAAACAACTAACAAAAGACATGAATATGCTATAAAAGAACAAAGGGATTAATGAAATAAAGAAGTCAATAGAAGACATGATAATAGAATAATATCTATAATAACAATAATAATAGAATTTCTAAAAGGAAAAAAGCCCAAACTGAAATTATTCTAAAAATGAAAGAAAAATTAATAATCCAAATTATTATAATATAATAATATAAATATATTATTATATATTTATAAATATAATATAATATATTATATTTATATTATTATAAATATAATAATATAAATCTCAGTAAGAAGTCTCACCAGTAGACTAGATCATGTAGAAAACAGAGAATTGAGGCTGAAGACAAGATACAGGAACTGGATTACTCAGTAAAGTAAGCAATGAATCTTAAAAATAAATATGACCATAATGTATGAAACCTCTGGAGCTCCATAGTGAAGGCTTTGCAGATATTGTAAATAAAACCACATAAGAAAATTTGCCAGACCTAGAGAAAGAAATGTCCATCTAGGTACAAGAGGCCTTACAGAATATCAAATAGACAGGGCTACAAACGAATTCTCACCACATATTATGGTTAAAACATTAAAAGTGCAAGATAAAGAAAGAGAGTGAAAGAAAAAAAACGGCAGCTGGACTGGGACTAATGGAGCATGTGATCAAACCGGACTCTCTGAACGTGGCTGACAAGGAGGGCTGACTGAGAAGCTAAGGACAATGGCACTAGGTTTTGATTCTACTGCATGAACTGGCTTTGTGGGAGCCTGGTTTGTTTGGATGCTCACTTTCCCAGACCTGGATGGAGAGGGGAGGACTTTGGACTTCCCATGGGGCAGGGAACCCTGACTGCTCTTAGGACTGTAGAGGGAGGAGGAGGGGGAGGGGGAAAGGGGAAGAAAAAGGGATGTGGGGAGGAGGTGGGAATTTTTAATAAATAAATAAATTTAAAAAAAAAGAAAGAAAGAAATGTCAAGTTACTTCTAAGGGCTGGACTATCAGAGTATTCAACAGTTAACTTACTTTTTACTTTTTACATTTTAAATTAAAATATACTTATATCAATTTGCTCTTTCCTCTCTCCTGTCCCTCAAGTCTCTTTCATCCAATTCCTTCCATGACCCCATACCTCACTCTCAAATTAGTAGCCTGGCCCTCCCGAATTATTGTTTCTTCAAAATCCAGAAAGACTTGGGAAAGTATATTGCAAGTTTTAAAGCATAATTGAAAACCCACACTATTATATTCAGCAAAATTCTATTAAAATTTAAAGAGAAATAAATCCTTCCCATAATAAAAACAATTTAAGGAATTTATGAGCACCAATCCAACTCTACAGAGGGTACCGGAAGGAATACTAGAGTCTGAAATCAAAATAAACAGAGCTCACAAGAAGTCACAGAGAATAAAAAATTTCAGGACAGTTAATCAAAAGAGGTTTAAGAAACACCATAAAACAACAAAATAAAAGATATTAACAAACATCTTGCAATAAAAACTGTTAATAGTCTCAACTACTCAATAGAAAAATACAGGCTATTGGCTAGGATTAGCAAACAGGATCCATCCTTTTTCTGCCTCCAAGCAGCACACATCACAATCAGCAATAGACATTGGCTTAGGGTGATAACCTTAAAAAGTTATTCTAAGCAGAGAGAACTAAGAAACAAGCAGGCATACATAGTCTAACACCTGACAAGATAAACTTCAAACGAAAGTACTTAAAAGAGACAAGGAGAGTAACAATTCACACCCACTAAAGAGCAGCCCATTAAGAGGATATGACATTTAGATATTACAATTCTAAATTCGTACATATCAAACAGAAGCACACCTAGTCTCTTCAAGGAAAAAAAATGATTTCAAAAATCAGTTTCGCCAATAGACAGGTCGTCTGGACAAAAAAAAAATGAACAGAGAAACATTGGAGTTAAAATGGCATTATAAATCAAATGGACCTAACAGGCAGCTACAAGTTAAACCACAAGCTCTAAAACAAATGAATAATTTGTGGATGCATATTCTCTGTAAAATTAAATGAAGATTAAGTAAATAATTTAAACCACTCCATAACAGTCAATGGAGAGTAGTAATTAAAAATTTCCCCCAAACAGAGCATAGAATTCTACTAGACCTTCAAAGAATTAATACCAATATTCCTCAAACTGTTCCATAAAATAGAAAATAGAAAAGGAAAGTTTCCAAATTATTTCTACAAAGCCTTTACTACTCAATCTCAGAACAACAAAAATGAGAATTATAGGTCATTCTTATTGATGAATACAAATGTAAAAATTCTCAAAAAAATACTTGTAAACCAAATTCAAGAGTATATATAAAAAATTGACTATAACAATTAAGTCAGTTTCATTGCAATAATGCAGGGAACTTCAACAAACTTGAATCAGTAAATGCAATATGCCAAAAAATTACATCCATGGACAGAAATTATGTGAATAAATTCCAACATTCTTCATGATGTAAGTCCTGAAGAATTTGGGGATACATGGGACATATGTCAACATAATATGGGAACTATACAACAAGCCCATATTAACAGGTAAATGGAGAAAACTCAAAGCATTTTTGCTTAAGATGGGAAGATAGGATGTCCACCCTGCCCTTTCCACTACTATTCAATATAGTGCTTGATGTCTACTGCAAAAGTCATAGATAAAGTGGATATAAGCAGAAAAGGGATAAGTCAGAATATTCTTACTTTTTAAATTGTATGATTCTATCCATAAAACACCACAAATAATTTACCAGAAAACTCCCACAGGTGATGAACATGTTTAGCAAAGTAGCAGGATATGAAATTAATACACAAAAATAATCGATAGCCTTCCTACAGAAATGGCATGCACACAAAGAAAGAAATGAGGGAAACAGTTCCATTCACAACAGCTTCAAAAGTAATTTTTGAATAAATCTAACCAAAGAAGTGAATTATACAATGAAAAATTAAGACATCAACAAAAAAGAAGATAGCAGAAGATGGTATCTTCCATACTTATTGATTGGTAGAATTGATATGATGAAAATGGCCATTGTATCAAAAGCAGTCTACAGAATCCATGCAATTATCATCAAGACCCAGCCCAATACTTGACAGAAAATGAAAAAAAAAAAACTTGAAACACAAAATACATAAGCTAGTAAAAGCATTACTGTAAAAGTCTCCTAAAATATATACATACATATAAATAAGAGGCATTGAACAGAGGGATAATGCCTCTCTTAAAACCATAGGCTAGCAAATAAAAATACCAGTGCCAGGTAATGGTTATATCACTAGATTTTGGTCACTGGGTTCCCATAGACCTCCCCCCAAACATTACAGGTGATAAATTGCCAAAGTTCTTAGTCAGCTTCCAGAATTTGATGGTTAAGGCTCTACTGCTGAAGTCACCACATACTTGAGTCATAAGATGTGGAAGAATCAATCAGGTACCAACATGGAAGCTTCATTCTTACTGGTTAGTGATCATAGTACCAGAAGCTCTATGCATGCTACTAGAGGAGAAATGTAACAGTCATACTCATTTGTAAGTCATGTGATCTACAATGAAGACTAGCTTTGGAAAGATATATCCATGAATAGGATAATGACATGAATGATAAAGGATTAATCAACCCCTTTCTGATGAATTGAAGCTGTATTTTACAAGATAGAAGTTATGTCTGGTATCATTAACTGCGCTATATCATAGTCCTAGGGGAGAACCTAATTGTTCTGCTGATTATTCAGAATAAACTTAACGATTATTCTGCTAAGTGGTCATAATATTAATCTGTTGTCTAAGTTATTATCTTTATAACCATTAGTGGATATCTCAACCCTCATAAAATAAGCAGGAGGCAGCAGATAATTTAGAGACCAACAACTGATCAGTGTGTAGAGATTAAGTGACTATGGAGTCCTCAGCTCTAAATGGGACACCAATCTGGTCTCAGGTCATCATGGAAGTGGATGTGGGTTGATTTTAAGAGCAACAGTTACTGGACATCTTTAGCAAAATAGTATGTGCTGTCATAATTTGCTGGATATGACAGCACTGTTGCACCTATGAACTCATAGCAGTTATAACTGCATGTACAAGACCTGCACAAGATCAAATCAGATAATCTCAGTATGCGGGGGCGGGGGCTCATGAAATCCCACCCCTTCCTGGGGAGCTACTGGTTGTTGGTGGAGAGTCACTTTTCTTCAGGGAAGAAGCCACCAATAAACCAGTAGATGTTCTTATGCCCATCCACATACTGGCCACACTAAGTGGAGTCAGTGAGTTTTAAAAGAGTATGCGGAAGTTGGGAGGGAAAGGAGGAAGGGAGGATAGGTCAGGAATCAGATACAAGGGCACAGAGATGGACTTGACAAAAACATGTAAGTATGAAATTCTCAACAAAATAAACGAAAACTAAAAAGAAAAATACATACTTTTCTTAATGAATCCTAATATATTTTTTTAACATCAGAAAGTTAAACTATTTCTACTTTATACATTTATAATAGAAACCAGTATTTTAGAATGCTCAGTCAACATATAGTTTTTGATTAACATAATTGTTTTAGTTACTTTAATACTGCTGTGCCAAGGTATCATGCCCAAGGCTACTTATAGAAGAACGTGTTCATGGGAGCTTAGAGTTTGAGAATTAAGTTCATGACCATCATGGTGGGGAGCTTAGCAGCAGGCAGGCATACTCAGTGCTGGAGCAGCTGAGAGCTTGCATAGTCAGAAGCCTCCATGAGGCACAGAGAGCAATTTTAGAATATCATCTGTCTTTTAAATCTTAAAGGTCACATCTCCTAATCCTTCCCCAAAAGGTTCAATGACTGGGGTAATCAAATAATTAATCAAATTTATGAGCAAGTGGGGGTTACTGTCATTCAGATCACCATAATGATAAACATTTTCAATTAAAATATTTTGAAATCAAGCCAGTCATTGTGGCACATTCCTATAGTACCAGGACTTGAGACACTGAGGCAAAAAGAAGATGGCTTTGAGGCCATCCTGGGTGGGTAGTGAGATTAAGGTTAGCTTGGGCTAAGAAATAAGATTTTGTCTAAAAAGACTGAGGTTAATGTTGGAGGAGGTCTGCTTATTGGTTCCCAGTCACCCAGCTAGCTTAGACCCGAAATAATCACATAGAAACTGTATTTATTAAATCACTGCTTGGCCAATTAGCTCTAGCTTCTTAATGGCTAACTCTTATGTCTTAGTTTAACCCATCTCCAATAATCTGTGTATCGCCACCTAGCAGTGGCTTACCAGCAAAATTTCGACATGTCTGACTCCATGACAGCTCTCTCCCTGCCTTCCTTCTCCCAGCATTCAGTCCAATTCTCCCTATCTACCTAAGTTCTGCCTTATCAACAGTCTAAGGCAGTTTCTTTATTCACTAACCAATAAAAGCATCACACAGACAGAAGGACCTCCCACACTAGGTTAAGAACGTATCTCATTGTCAGAGTCCTTGTCAAGCAAGAATAAGGCCCTACATTCCATCCCTATTGCCACAAATATTTTAGAAACAAATTATTTACTTTACAATGATTTTATTTAGTCTTTCCAAATATTCCTTAATGTTTCTTAAAGATAAGTAAATTCTCAGACTATACATCATTTATTTTAATACAAGAAGCCATTTCTTAAGAAAATGATTATTTCTCATTCATGTTTTAATTCTTGAATTGGTCAAGATTCAGCAAGAGTATAAGATGCTCCTATTTTAAATGTGTCATTTTAAAATTAAACCTCTAGTATGCCAGTTTTCTGTTCTCAAAAAGACATGAAGAATGTCTTTCTTCTGCTAATAAAGTCATGGATAAGATCATACCTTTCTAGTTGTTCAGACAAGTGGTCAGCTGAATCAGAAGAAGGAGCTTGGTATATGTCTGATAACTCCAAGCGCTGTCTATACCCTTTTCTCAAAATTGGTGTGGTCCAGCTAAAAGAGAAGAAGGCAGACAGATATTCAGTTATTAAGTATTCATTCGAGACATAAGTCTGGTACCAACTGCCATGTAGAAAATACAGTATATATACAGAAATATGAAAGTGAAGTAAAACAAGTTACATAAATACAATAATACTCATATTGTACTTGATACACCCATATAAACATCAGCACCTCTGAACTAAGGCTTCTTTTTTTAACAGATGAGAATTCTAATATAGTTTAATCTTTCACAAGAAGAAAAGAGACTGAGGAAAATAAGACAGACAATAAATATTCATAATTTTGTCAGTGCAACCTAGGACATTTAGCAATGAGTTAGCTATTAAAGAACTGAGTATAAAGATAGACAGTGAATAGTTTATAGCAGTTAGCCAATATGATTGTCTCTACAACATTGTTTGAAAGTATAGATCATCAATTCTTTTCTCATTACCCTATAGGTATTTCTGATCGAAACTAGAGAAACTGACGGAGAAAAGTAGAGTAATCCTGTCTGCTCAAACATGCTGCTTCTAATTACTATGGGAAAGGCAAGATAAAGTCCACAAGGACAGAAATCAAAACTTCTAATTATATATATATATATATATATATATTATTCTAATAATATATATATGTATGTATACACACACGCGCGCGCGTGCGCACGCACACACACACACACACACACACACACACACACACACAATTCCAACCATCCCAAACCTTCTAATCCTTGCCAAATAGTTTCACCAACTAGAGACCAAGTAATCAAATGGCTCATGGGGACCATTTTCATTCAGACCACCACAAAACTTTCAATTAAAATTTCAAAATTAATATTTTGAAAGCAAGCCAGATATGTTGGCACATGCCAATAGTCCTAGAACTTAGGAGGATGAGGCAAAAAGGAGGTGACTTTAGAGGCCATCCTATATATAGTGAATTTAACGCCAGCCTTCTAATATATATTAGAGAAGCCTGAGTATACAATGAGTTAAAGGCCAGTCATATATAAACACATATACATACACAATTTTATATATATATATATACTTCTATTTATACAGATACACAATTATCTATGCATATATGTATATATATGCATATATGGCTGAAGAAAGGCAGAGATGGTAAGGAAAACTGTAAAAAAATAAATCATATGTCAAGAGAAAACTCTAAAGTAAATTATGTAAAAAATTAGTAAATTAAAGTAAATTAGTAAAAAAAAGAATGCAGTCTTTCTCAGCTTAAATTTTATGTATTTGTTTAAGGAAGGAATTTACCAGGATTAGTGGTCTTCGAAACTGAAAACCCTCAGTTTTTCTCCCTCAGCACCTCTTTTTGTACCCCAGAAATTTCTAAGATTTATTATCATTAAGGTTCTGTAATAATGTAAAACGATGAATGTTAAACCATCAAAAAGTCTGATTTGAGAAGCAAGAAAACATGAAACAAACAAACAAAAATACTCTATCAAAGTCATTCAAGAAGTTGTAAAGAAATGCCATGTCAAATGTCAACATTTTGATACTGTTCCAGGGCATAATATTCCAGGGAGCCCTCATGATTACCCTTATCCCTCCCATCTAAGGGTCCATATTCTTCTTTATACTACTTTGGTCTCTGACTTGCTCACTGGGACCAGTCCCATGCTCTTAATCCTCCTGTAGTTTGTCTTTGTGACTCAGCTGAATATAGGCCCATCCCTAAAACTAAGTAACTTAATTGGCCATTTCTTGCTAAGACCGTAGCGAGTGATGTTTCCTTGTGTCTCTTTAATTTACAAATTTGCATTTTGACAAGAACCTTCTTTAACAAAGGATAGTAACTAGACTTAGTATTCAAAAACCACTGTGATTCACTGGTCATTCTTTCTGCAGGAAAAAAGATAGTGAATATACATGAAAGCAGACCAAATGTATCAGGGAAAGAAGAGCCACAACCATGCAGAGCCTCTGGTGATAACATCTGAGATGGAGTGGCACAAATAGGTACTCACTACCCTTCTCAGTTATCATACAGACAGAAAGTGAAGTTGAACTAAAGGTGGCAGTTAGTATAGGAGATAAAACTGACAGCAATGTGAGATATGGTTATGTGATTTAGGCAATTACCCTTTACAAACTTAAAGCAAGAATGTACTTCCAGAGCTGGGCAGTGGTGGTGCATGCCTTTAATCCCAGCACTTGGGAGGCAGAAGTAGGCAGATCTCTGTGAGTTCAAGGCCAGCCTGGTCTAGAAGAGCTAGTTTTCAGGACAGGCTTCAAAACTACAAAGAAACCCTGTCTCGAAAAAACAAACAACAACAACAACAACAACAAAAAGAGTTTACTACCAATCATTTAAAGAATTTTTTAGCACTTGCCAAAGACTTTTGCAATCATTAGCATACTGGTGTGTTTTAATTGTGAAACTTTGTTAAACAAATAAAACAAAAGGAAGTGTTATTAGCAACCTTAGGAAACGGTACTCAGAGACATAAAACTTTTCTGAATTATTAATGTAAAATGAATTCTTTTGAATTCATTCTTTACCATGTTCAACTGTAAGAGAATTAGGTAAAGTGGGCTGTAATAAAATTAGACACATAACTAGGAGAGTGAAAACAAGGTGAGCAAATCCAATAGGTAATAGGTAGGGGTGTGCTCTGCAAACAATAATCCCTTTTCCAGAAAACAAAAGCAAAAATTGACTGCTCATTGCTTCATAAATACTCTTACCATGATCAGTTCAAGCTACCAAAGATGAAATCACTCAACTCAGAACTGGCAAGAGAATGAACTGCATATAATATTAACATGCTCATCACTTCAGAGACAATAACCACAAATGGCCTCAATACCATAACAGCAATGCATAAACTAAATGCAAAGTGATAACCTCTTGAACTTTTGTTTACCATATTGCAATTATGTTTTATAATTTGATATTTAGCCACTCTGTTTAACAGTGAGATCATAAATAATCTCATCTAGAAAGGTTCAAGTGTGTACATCACTATGGACAGAGATTTGAAATCTCAGAAGGCCAGTAGCAAGGGACAAAAAGAATGACGATCTGCAGAACACAGTAAAAAAGAAAATTCACTATACCTACTAGCAGCCTTGTGTTCTCAATATATTTAAAACTATTAAAATCATGCATCAACTTCAAAATGAGCAGAAGCTCACTGTCTTTCAACACCATTCCTTAAAGGGCATTCAAAAGAAATTTTTAAATTTTCTTAAACCCTTACATATTGCAAGCATGATTCTTTGGGTTCATTTGTAAGATTTAGTAGCCATTCTCATGAACAAGCTTTCATCTAAGCTCAAAGTAGCACAATGTGTGTGATAAATTCATAAAAATAATCTTTGTTATCTCAGGGTATTTTAAGATATTATATTATGCTGTAACAACTAGTTTTAACAAGAGAACCATGAAGCCAAATACATCCAGCAGTATACTGTGCAAGCTCATCAGCTGTAATTATTAGTTAGCATTTTTTGGCAGTTACATCATAGAAAGCCTGAATTTGTTTCCAAATTAAAACTAGTTCAAAGTAAATTGTAAAAATGAAAATCTAGGGACAGTAGCAATGATTAGAGGTTTAGGACAGTTGCTGCTCCTACAAAGGACCAGGGTTTGAATCCTAGCAACCAGATGGAGGCTAACAACCATCTGTAACTCCAGGTCCAGGGAACCTGATGCCCTCTTTTGACATCTGAGGGCTCCAGGCATACATGCAGTGCACATATATACAAGCAGTCAAGATACTCATACACATAAGCAAATCTAAAATATTTTAAAACCAACTAAAAATCTAATCATCTTAGGCTGTCTGCAATCACCTTACAGAAAGATTTTATTTCTTGAGAATAAATCAGCTTCTCCTAACAATGAGTTCTCTATGTTAACTATAAGTCAATCTAAGAAACATAAAACAAAATTAGAGAAAATAGACATTCAAGTTTTAGATACTATGCAGCATAAATGTGAAATTCAAGCCACTCTTTATTTGCAAGGATTCTGAGTATATTTAATGGACTTGTGTAGATTCAGCACTACTCAAAGCCAGAATTTTCACCTCAGTATTTCTCCCATCATAAAGTAATATACATTCAGGTATTTCATGAGTCTGAGTAGTTGGAACAACATAAGGCATTACAGTGATGATTTTTCTGTTTTCCACTTCCCCTGGGAGCTATTTCCCTCACATCTAAATGACTGACAAATTGATATTCCTAGAATGTCTGATGGACTTCAAAGTCAGGATTTCTCTAACAGAAACTAGTTAATCAATTAAGAGGTAGCAGACATATAGCATACGCATATTTCTAAAGTTTACTACCATCCAGGAAAAAAGCCCACCACCATCTCAGATATACTGTTCTGTCCACTTAACCATAACAAGCTTCAGGTTTTATTACAAACAATGCTAGCATTTTAGTTTTTAAAGACATACACGCTAATTTTACTCTGTTTAATATAGCTCATTTCATTTCTTTGGGAAAACTAATTTTATACAGAATGATTTGTAGTTTCTAATGAAACAATTTGTTCCCAGATATTGAGGTCAGAAGTCCCTGCTTTAGGAATGCAAAACCAAGTCTCAGTCACCTATCCTAACATGTCAATCAAAGAGACGAACAGTGATGAAAGACAGAGAAAGAAGATTTAATCTAAGTGGGCACACAGTGAGGAAGAGAAAAAGGAGCTCTGTAGTTCCCCACCCCAAGTCCATCTTCAGGAAATAGGCAACAGCTTAGGCTTAAAGAGAAGTACCAAAAAGGCAGGGGAAGATACATTTATCATTAGTGTCTTGGTCAAACTTGGGCTCAGTTCTTGTTGTACAAGTCAGTTCAAATAAGTCATTACTGATGTGAGGACACGACAGGTCCTGAGAAAGACTGCTCCTGAACAGGGCCTGATTCTCATGCACAGTGGTCTATATGTGAACTTCTACTCTCCTGGAATCCAGAGTGACCACAGGCTTATGGAAATCACTGAAGGAATTGAAGGAGTAC